CAGTGATAGCCAGGGTCTTAGCTAGGATTTTAGATCTTGGGCGTGTTTCTAATGACCAGGGTGTGCACATGTCAATTACCTTGAATAGCCAAATTTACGGTTCTAGTTATGCTCGCCAACAAGATGCAGACAATGCCTGTTGTTGTTCTGTGCTTTGCAACCAAAATACAAAGCGAGCATAATTACGCTCATATTGCGCAATGACATTAGAATATTAAGTTATTTCAGCAACCTTGGGGGTATTGAAAACCATTTTAACACCATACAGTTCCCATTGCCAATTTCAACAACAACAGTAGATTTTACAAACTTTCTTACGACGTAAATTGGAGAGAAATTCTGTCTGTTGTAAGTACTTTAGCACCACCTTATTTTATGAACCTACACGGCCTGATATAAATAATATAAATAATGAAGCTGCGTTCATTTTATCCATTTTATCCGTGTTTTTCCACTTTTGGCCGCGATAACATGGCCAACAGGCCCTCTAGCTAAGACCCTGGTGATAGCCATTCATCTGTGTGTCAAGTACCCTTTTAATGCAATGTTTTGAAAGAAACTTTGTGGTAATGGTAATGGTAATGAAGGGCGAAATTGGACTCATCAGTTGTACAGTCATAGTTCATTAATACACTGATACATATGTACACTATTAGTCTAGGACCTTTAGTCTAGGACCTGTATATGAGTTTGTATGCGTTTCATTTAGCACAGGTAATCTCAACTGTTTTGGGGTAAAATGACCATGGCGGTCAACATGGCATATGTGCCAAAAGCTGAATCCGGGACGAAAGTCCTGAAAATGACTCCGCCCTGAAACGGCAGTGTCGACATAGCTCTAACTTCAGAAAACAAAAAGCGATAGTCTTTCTGAAGTGCTTATAGTGTTTAGAAGGGTTGCTTTTAGGGTGGTCATTGGAAGAAAAAAATTTGTCTAAGTATAATATTTTACAAGAAAATGACCATGCACTACCCAGGTAAATTGCTAATTATGCATAAAATAACTAATATGCCTGGCAGAAATTAAACATTCTTATTTCCTAAAAAAAAAATTATCATGGGGTGAAAAACTATGCTTAATTTAATATAAATATTGTTGATATCATAAGAATTGTCATTGTTTTCTTTAAATATAATACATTTTATTTCACTTACCCCCACGAAAACACGATTTCAGCCATATTTTGCCGTCTTGTTTGCTTTTTATCGCCGATTCTCGCAAATATCATCCAGTTGTTGTACTTTTACATAATCATAAATGGCTGACGAAGATTTCAAAGAAGGTTTCATCCACTTTTGAAACAGTGCAGTGTATTTTATCTTCGATATTGTGTCCTTCCATATTTCATCAAATTGCCGCCATTTTAATGGCTCGCCACTTTTCTGCCCGATAAATGCCACTTCTTCGTTTTCATATGTATTTAGATTACATTATCCAAGAGTACTTCTTTGTAGAATAGTCCCAATCCAAAAATTGCAAATATTATTTGTACTTGGGAGGAAAAAACCTCCCATAATAGTTGTCCTGTCAGAATTCAAAAGAAGTAATTTAAAAGTCACGCGCAAGTTCGCGAA